TATTCCAAGCATTATCGTATGTGTGGGGAGATGAGACTGTCACAGAAGAAATATTACTCGATGGCACCAAGCATCATGTCACGAGGAATCTCTACGATGCACTATATTACCTTCGGCAACGTGGTGATGACATGATCTACTGGATTGACGCTCTATCCATCAATCAGTATGATATAGCTGAACGCAATGATCAGCTGCGTATGATGGGGCAAATTTATTTCAGAGCAAGCATGGTCATCATATGGTTGGGGCAAAGGTACACCAGGTTTGAGATGCCCCGAGAGCGCAAAATGAGGTCGATGCCAGGAGAATGGGATTCAGGGTCTATGGAGCAGAACTGGAGCACAAAGGTGGAATCGTCCATACTGGGGTCGAAGTCGTATGAGTCATTCCTTGAAACAAGAGCATTGGTGGATGAACTTGTGACAGATACGTACTGGACGAGACTATGGATCATTCAAGAGGTTGGACAAGCACGCAAAAGACAGGTGTGTTTTGGCCGATCTGCCATGGATTGGGATGCAGTGATGGCGTTGATCGCGTCACAAGACTGCAAGGGCAAGGATGTCCCTCTACGGCTGGATCGCCAACTTCAAGAGAAGTATTCTGGCGCTCATACACTCCGAAGCTTGCTCGAGGACCATCGGAATGCCCAATGCAAAGACCCGAAAGATAAGGTATATGGCCTTGTTGGGCTTGCGGCAGATGCTCACGGCTTTCCTTTGGATTACAATAAGTCATTGATAGATATATGGACCGACACGATGGAGTTTATGAACAAGTACCAGCTCTTCGACAAGGTCAACAGAGATTCCGACATTGTTCATGTTGCAGGCCTGGTGCGATTCCTCCTAATGGGTGCGCAATATACACCCCTCCACAAAATTGCCCCCTCAGAGGAGATTGAAGCCGCGCCAGCTGTTATATTTGATGAGACTTTGAAAGAAAGTGAAAAGATCTTTCAGTTCGAAGGTCACATCCTAGGCTGCATCAGTTTCATTGGATCCTCTACAGAGGAAATAGTGGCTAGCCCCAGGAAAGTAGATCACTGGGAACAACGAGTCCAGGAACGGTATAAAGATGATATTGGATCAGCTTATCGAGAGAGTCGTGAGCTGCTCAACATCATTCTCGAGTCAAAGGAGGATACACTGGCAGACCTTCTCTCTGAACGTACTAGCTTGATCCAATGGACAGCTCTTCCGACTTTAAAGAGAAGCAATTCTAGACTGGCCGCATACCGAAACTGGATTCAAGAAAGGAAATCTAAATATTCGAGCCAACCTAGCCTACAACTCCAGCGGACATTTTCAATGAGACCTTCAACTATGAATCTTTATCAGATGCACCGTCTACAGTCAAATGGAACAAGTTGGAAGATGGGCATTGCGTCATGCCAGGCTCGGCCTGGAGATCTGGTTTGCTGGATACGAAGAACGAAAAAAGCTTTGGTAGTGCGTCTCTCCGCCTCCGTACATGGCGAACATCCGCAACAAGACATGTTGCAGGTACACGGCACAGCATTGGTCACAGAGGATATTGCTTCCGTGGAAGCTGACCACGAGCAACGCTTGCGCACATTTGACGCTGACGATGTGTTGTCTCTGAGAATGGATGCAAAAATGATTTACGTCCTCCTGTGAAAGAGGTTATAGTAAAAACTAGCTACGTTAGATCTCTGGATCAAGTTTATTGATCTTCAACCAATAAATGTGCATTCGGCAAGGACTAGCACAATCATGCACTGCTCGATTAACTTTGAATCCATAGGCGGTTTGTTTATGCTCGGGCCAACATTTTCCTTACCACTCACCATCACCTACGGCCCTGCTCGACTTCTGTTAACTTCAATCCTCTACATCTAGATTTATACTCTCCAACTTAGACGAAAATCTTCTTATAAAGCCCGGACCATCCATTGCCACATTTGCTGTGCGCACTTGAGCACAAAAAAGTTGCCGACTTTGATCTCGCATTTCTCCTGCAAAACAAACTAACTTCGATCGCCAAAGATAAAAATATGCCAAAAAAGGACTTAGAGGTCTCGCCAGGACTCGAACCTGGGCTACCGGAAGAAAATGAGATCTCAGAATCCGGGGTCCTAACCACTAGACTACGAGACCTGATTGGTGGATGCAATTTGGCTTTTTTTGTGGTCAAGAAACCGGTACGCAAGTGGAGAACGGCCCATTATCTCAGTACGGAGTCGTGGAGCAAGTTAAGAGGCGTAAGACCGCGACCAGCACAACACCATGGGGTACCCTTCGCACTTTTGCGGAACCTGAAGAATGGAACGAGCTTCAATCGAGGTAATGATAGAAACATTTAATGGGAATTCCAAATTTACTGAACAGGGTTGATTTCTTTAGCTAGGTATGTTCGAAATCCTATCCTCTCTAGGCTAAGCCAGTCTTTGATCCAGCCAGGCGGCTATGTCGCCCATCTGGTCGACCGTCTGTATCTCTGCTTTCATGTTTAGCATGAGCATGAGCTGTATTTCTCTCATATGACACATTATCTCGTGACTGGACTCCTCTGTATCGGTGATTTTCCCCAGCAAACCGACCGCTCGTTGTCGATCACGGTCTGTCAGCGGTACACGAGTGTCCACAGTAGGGTTCGAGAGCTGAGAGTCCGGGTTCACCAAACTTCCCGCGTTAGAAGTCTCAATCATACCTTGAGTGCTACAGAGGATGTCCTTGCTTTTTAGCCCGAGCCACCGGAGGTTAGGCACAGTGGTGTGCTGTTCATGGCTCAAGCTGTTGCTGCCGTACTTGTATGTGCGATAAATGGCAAATCCATCCGGATCATAATCTATTAGGCAATAAACAGGCAAGTCTGGACGTTGTGAATTAATTAAGTGGAGGAGTGACCGAGTTGCCAAGTCGGGATACCCCTTCGCCTGAGATCATGTGAGTGGTAGATCGGGAGTTTTGCCAGCAAGCACCTACAGTAACCAAGATCCCATCGCCGTGCAACGATGTCCTCCAATATTGGGAGCTAGCAAGTGTTCTGAAGGTAGCCTAAGTGCTATGAGTGATCGCAGATGTCAAGACACGGGCGGCGCGCTCATACCTCTTTTTCGATGACGAGAAGCCACTGCGAAGACCGGAGGTCGATCTCTCGGACAGACCCAATTGCTGGAACTGGAGTGCCCTGCCAGCCAGGGCTGTTAGAAAACGGCGAAGAGCGAGAAACAAGGGGATATACATCTTTATTGTGCAGGTCACAAGACATAGTAGAATTGTCTGACATCTGGAAGCGAATCGACCCAGCAATAAGACCCTTGTCGGCAGCAACCTATTTAGCCTGTCAGAAAACAAAAGGAAGAAAACGGGGACAATGTCAGCTTGTACAATGTTGAGAGCGTCTCTGCCTACTCCTAGAGTGAATGCGAGGTCATCCACTAGGTCATTGACAATCCCCTGTGACCTGAAGAGCTGAGTATCTTGGTAGAAGATGTTCCTTGGGTTATATGAGTCAAGTGGCTTCAATGAGCTGATGTGGCACTCATATTATGGGAGAACGCGATACTGACCTTTTGGTGATTATGTTGCCGGACACTAGGGCACCATGACACAATTGCAAGATACTCAGGAGCCGTGCTGATACAAGCATTAAGAACTGTCCGGAAATGGAGCGGCAAGACTTACTGAACTTCTCAGCCTCCTGCGCCGTCTTGCCTGGAAAGTTTATCGTATCGCGCGACTGTCGAGTGATCTGTCCCGAGGATGCACCAGCATCCGTATCCTGGCTGTCTGTCGGCGTTTGCTGTTGAGTGCGTATAGATGTTCTCCTACTTCGAAAGGGGATGGACAAGTCTTCCGCGCCATCTTTTAAGCCGTCAAAGAGAGACTCGAGAATGTCTTCTATCCTTGAGACAACGGTACCGGCCTGGTTCCCATTGCGAGCTAGACTAGGAGGAGCTGAGTTGGCATTGGAGAGTTGTGAATGGGCGTCAAGCAAGCTCGAGCCGTGATGAAGCAGAGTTGAATACTGGCTGTCTTCAAAACGAGCATGTAATTGAGACATCGTATCGGCCCTTACGAGCAATAGGACTCCAGTGGATATGAAGGAATTGACGAGATTAGAAGCCTCGTGGACCAAGATGGCGCCTGTAGATGGGAGCATGCCCAGGAAAGTGAAGAAGCTGCACTGACTGGAAAAGAAGGCATTTGCTACCGTCTTTCCGGGGGGCTCCTACATGACTTCCTACAAGCAACTCGATCCATCGTACCTTCTCTATCTACTTTCACCCACTTGGTATTTCGAGACTTGGGAAAGCACGATGCACATCCAGGATCACATCGCACCTTCCATTTTGCAAATGCAGGTGCGTTTTTGAGCATCCAAGAGAAGACGTAATCAATCATCCTTCTTCTTGTTTCGCAGCTCATGGATAGTTCTTGCAAAGAAGAAAGGAATGATATACATCAATGCCAATTGTGTCTCTTGGCGACTCTAAAGGCATTGATCTTGTTTGATCGTTTGGAAGGCTCGATAGAATGCTAACGGTGGCTGCTAGATCTGGATTTCTACTGGACATGGGCGTGAGGGTCAGTGCCCAGGTGTGAGGCAGTCCAGGATCCAATGAGTGAAGCGCTGTGCCTGCAGTACTCTTGTAAGCTAAAGGCGGTGTGATCATCACAGATCAGGGTGCCCTAGGGGCAAGCGTAGGTAGGCTATTAGGGGGCGGCCGGGGCGGCATGGCCCCGCCACGGGCTGCGGATTGGCCAATTGCAGGCAGGTTGTCGCACGCCAGGCAATATCGAATGTCGGGTTTTCATTGACATGTGCAGCATTGGCGGCCGACTGTCTCTCCACCACCCGGAATTGTCAACGGGGAACGGGGAACTAACAAAAGCCCGCAGCTGGCGTATGCTGTGTCGTCGAAATGGTTTGATCCCTCCCGGTCGACGACACCACAAAGTCTTTCTTCCCTTGCGATCGCGATCACGTACCGACTCGCACTCCGAGGTCACACGAATTCCGACCCCATCATGGTCGCGAGCACTGGCAATGACGCCTACAAAGCCGTTGCCGCGAACGGCAATGGCAAGGCGCTTTTGAACCGAACGAAGAGGCGTGTCGCCGAGACCAACGGCGACGAGAAGGTTGCTAAGCGGCCACGAGTCTATGAACAGACCGACAAAACACGATGGCGAATGAAGGACGACTGCGGCCGGCTCACCTGGCATTATCTCGAGGACGACGAGGCTGCCAAAGAATGGCCCCAGACCTTGGCCGATAAGTGGTATCTCGGGCTGCCTCTTGTACGGTCTTTCCTTGTTGAATGGGAGATTGCTTCTGCTAATCACAGCCGACCTCTCAATAGAATCTCCCCGAACTCCCCCGTGCGAAGAAACCCATCGATGCTGTACGGAATGGCCTCGAGGTTTTCGAAAAGTTCCAGCTGCCACCCGGTGAGTGGGGTAGTGAATACGGTGGGCCCATGTTCCTTCTTCCAGGCATTGTCTTCACTTGGTACATCACCAAGACTTTGCCCCCGTGGTACTACGCGGCCGAGATCAAGAACTATCTCTTCGCTCGAGCTCACCCGAAGGATGGCGGGTGGGGTTTGCATATTGAGGGTGAAAGCACCGCGTTTGGTACATCGATGAACTATACTGCTCTACGGTTGTTGGGAGTTGAGGCAGACCACCCGGTCATGGTCAAGGCACGGGCAACACTTCACAGACTAGGAGGTGCCACCCACGGGCCACATTGGGCCAAGTTCTGGCTCAGCGTTCTCGGCGTCTGCAAATGGGATATTGTGAATCCTGTCCCCCCTGAGATATGGCTGTTCCCCGACTGGGTGCCGATTGCGCCTTGGCGGTGGTGGATACATATGCGTCAAGTCTTTGCAGCTATGAGCTTCATCTGGTCAAAGAAATGGACGTGCGAAGAGACCGAGGTCATACGAGAGTTGCGGGACGAGTTATTCGTTGAGCCTTGGGAATCAATCAACTGGGCTGCTAATAGAAACACAATAGCACCAATCGACAACTATCACCCAAAGAGTTGGGTACTCAACACTCTGAACTGGCTCCTGATCAATGTCTGGAACCCATACCTTCGAACAGACTCCATCGCAAAGAGGGCCGAGGATTGGATTAGCAAACTACTGGACATGGAAATCGAGAACACAAACTATCTTTGCCTAGCACCTGTCAATCACCCCATGACAACTCTGTGCGTATACATCCGGGATGGGCCCGACTCTTACAAGTTCAAACGAATGCGAGAGAGAATGGCCGAGGTTGTGTGGGTCAATCAGGAGGGGCTCTTGGTCAACGGCACAAACGGTGTCCAGTCTTGGGACACCGCATTCGCTATTCAGGCCGTTGTTGACTCCGGTCTTGCAGAAGACGAACGGTGGAAGCCCATGTTGACAAAGGCATTGGAGTTCCTCGACGATCAGCAAATTCGGGAAAATTGCGTTGACCAAGACAAGTGCTACCGCCATCCGCGGAAAGGCGCATGGGCTTTCAGCAACAAGGATCAGGGCTATGCCGTCAGCGATTGCATTTCAGAGGCTCTAAAATCGGTGATTCTTCTCCAGAAGACGCCAGGTTATCCCCAGCTCATCGACGATCAACGGATTTTCGATGCGGTTGACACTGTCCTCACCTACCAAGACAAGGCTTCTGGTGGATGCGCTTCGTATGAACTTCCCAGGGGTGGCGAGTATATGGAGCTACTCAATGCCGCCGAGGTGTTCGGAAGGATCATGATCGAGTACTTGTACCCGGAGTGTACTACTGCAGTGGTTACAGCGCTTTCGCTGTTTCATAAGCACTGGCCGGATTACAGGTCTAAGGAGATTGAGACATTTATTGATGGTGCTGTGAGTTGGATTAAGACTGCGCAGTTCCCCGACGGTAGCTGGTACGGAAGCTGGGGCATTTGTTTTACGTATGCCACCATGTTTGCATTAGAGAGTCTATCAAGCATCGGCGAGACGTATGGGAACAGCGAGCATGCCAAGAAGGGCTGCGACTTCTTGATCTCTAAGCAAAGGAAAGATGGCGGATGGTCAGAAAGCTACAAGGTAAGTTGAGAATGCCGTCTACTATCCTCATTGTAACTAACAGCTTCAAGTCTTGTGAACAAAGCAAGTACATAGAGCACCCTTCTGGATCACTTGTGGTGCAGACATCTTGGGCCATTATCGGTCTCCTGAAAGCCAAATATCCAGATAAGGAGCGGATCAAGAAGGGCATCAAACTCCTCATGCAGAGACAGCAGCCAGATGGACAGTGGCTCCAGGAGGCCATTGAGGGAGTCTTCAACAAAAGCTGCATGATCAGCTATCCAAACTATAAATACGAATTCCCAATCAAAGCCCTCGGGATGTTCGCCCAGAAATATCCCGATGAGGTGGTTCTTTAAGTCTAGAATGTTAGACAAGAGTCTCCTCCTACCCCATACTCTGGAAGCTCAGAGCTGAGCGGTTAGCTTCACGATAATAGTTATTAATATTTAATGAGACATGTAATTATGATGCCAGGGAGTTTTACATGATACAAAGTGTGAGTCTGCAAAGCTTGGTGTCTTCTTTCTTGTTCGATGCTCTTCTGGCCTAGGGTGGTGAGCTGAACAGGCAGGCGGTGAGTTTCAGGCAGCTCTCGAAAAGGCCGGCAGAACTCTGTAATCCCAGCATTGCACCGCTTAAAACGACCCCGCCAAAGCTTCGTTTGTCCTGCCACCTTCCTGTCACATCCAAGAGCAAACGAAGCTTCGGGCACAGCCAAACTTTGGAGTCGTGACCCGGCAAACGCAATCTACGGGAAGCAATCCATCTGAGTCTTTGTGATGCCTTCTATCTTTTCATAAGCCACCAGTAACATATTTCTAAGCTCACCACGGTGGGATCAAACAACGACGTCAGGTCAGTGTGTGACGACCAGCAAAACAGCCGCAATCGCCTCCGTGTTGCGCTGTGGTAGCTTTCAAGCTGCATAAATTCACCCATAGCCGTACCAAACTCGGACAAAGAACTAATGCAGCTCTGAGATAGGAACCCCAAGAAGCTGCGAATATGTCTGCATTTACCAAAGGCCAAGCCGGCGTCGCCGCCGCCGAGAAGAAGAAGTGGCCCGAGGCCATCGAGCTTCTTTCCCAGGCGCTGGCCGACACAAAGTCTCCCCAGTGGCTGCTCGCCCGTGCCCAGGCATACCAGAACACCGGCGAGCCTGAGAAGGCCTTGCTGGACGTCGAGCAGGCGTACCACGCCGCAGCCCAGCGCGGCAACGACAAGTCCCGGAAGCAGATGATCGAGGCGCAGTACCGACGCGCCGTTCTCCTCTTCAAGAAGGGCCAGTATGCCAACTCTGACTGCTGCTGTCTGTGGGCCATGCAGCTGGCTGAGGGAAAGCCGGTGGCGATGGCTGATAACGTGTCTACCAATGTGGACGAGGATGGCGACTACAAGGCGACGTTGGAGGAGGCTCGCGCAATGAAATACGACAATGGCCAGGGAAACTCCATTGATTCTGTACTTGCTGCTCGCAGTAGTGGCAAGGATCCGACCGGCTATCAAGCTGACTGGAATCGCGCTTTCATGTGGCGCAGCCAGGTGTTGGCGGCCATGGAGAAGTTGCCCAAGGGTGATCCGGGCCGTAAGGTGACAGTCACGCGCTTCCCGGCCAAGCGTACACAGGCCGAGATAGACGATGCGGCTGGCGAGAAAGCCAAGGCGGATGCCAAAGCTGCAGAGGAAGAGAGATCTCGAGCAAAGCTCGCAGAGCATGCTAAGTCAGAGACAATCAAGAAGCAGACGTTGGACGTGGCGGGCAAGTTCCGGAGCCAGTATTATCAGACCGACAAGAGCATCACTGTCACTCTGCTGATCAAGTTCGCAACCCGAGAGGAGAGCAATGCTGTGAAGGTGCAGTTTCTGCCGGACATGGTAAGCCCATATATTTGTCTCGAAAACCTCAAGTTATTCTGATCTTAACCGGTCTTTAGGTCGTTATCTCTGGCGTTCCCCGCAACCCGCCCGTTGTTTATCTTCAACTTCACGCCCCTATTGATCCATCCAAGAGTAAGTTCCGCGCGGCCGTCATGAAAGTCGAGCTTGAGCTGGTGAAGCAAGAGCCAGCCAAGTGGCCGAACTGGGGTGAAGAGGTTCTGGAAGATCCCCGTGAACCGGGAGCTCTACCTACTTCTGTTGGCAATGATGGCGACGTCGAGGCTAAGGGCTCGAATGCTACGACAGCCGTTTCTGCATCCATCACTGAGGAGCCGAAGCCGGCGCCTTCCAAGCCTGCAGCTTCTCCGGCTTATCCGACAAGTTCCAAGTCGGGCTCCAAGAACTGGGACAAGATCGACGATGCTGAAGAGGAAGATGACAGCCAGGATGTCAACTTCTTCTTCAAACAGTTGTACAAGAATTCGACTCCAGAGCAGCAGCGAGCGATGATGAAGTCCTATATCGAGAGCAACGGCACTGCGCTCAGCACAGATTGGAACAATGTGAAAGACAAGAAGGTAGACACCGTGCCGCCGAATGGTGTCGAGGCCAAGAAGTGGGAGTCTTAGCGTATAGCAGGCTCTTCGGTCGCAAAAATTCGGACGTCCCTGCTCGACTCGCAACGTCGTCGTTATCGTATTGGAGACGGTTTCCCGCAACCCGTCCGCGAAATGCTACTGTTCTAGTCAGCTCGGCAAACTCATCAATCATGGTCAAGGCGTTATAGGGCATTTGGACTTATGAAAGGTTTCTTTGTGTTAATGATAGATACCAATGCTGCAGGGGATTGTTCTTTGTAGCAGTACTCCATAGGGTAATGGAACGAGATACGTCGCCAATGGTTGACTTTCCAGGCAAGCAATGTGGCATACTAACAATGCAATGCTAATGACTAGGAACACCAACTTATAGGCTTCTGCTACTATTGTCGATGTGTGTTCTGGGCAGTTGTTATGCCCAGCTGAATTTGGGTTGGGGAAGCTTGCAGAGTCACTCCTCAAGCCCCCTATTCAGGACCGCACAGCCGCCCCCACTACAACACACCAGCCGCAGCGGCTGTTTCTGCTCAGGTTTTGCCTCAATGAAGCTCACTGCTCTTTTGATTTCTTCTGTTTTCTTTCTTCCATCTTCAAAGCAGGTGATTTGCTCCCAAATCGAGCAGCAGCCCACGCTTCCTTCCTGGATTTTGAATCCCGAAGGCCCTTTGCCTCGAGTCAAGATCTTGAGCAGTCCATCCATTCGGCGGGCTTGACACGAGCGACTCATTTTTGCTACTCAGATTACTCTGCCCCTTAGGGTTGACCGGGCCTCGCGCTGTCACCTTCAATCATCACATCCCTGACACCAGATCGCGATTGCTTTCCAGGCTTCCATCTCTCAGGAGCTCGGCCTCCCCAGACGTAGCTTCCTTCGGTATCCCACGACAATAAAGTTGTCCTTCAAAACCTGGCATTCATCAGTCGACTACAGTCATTATGGCTACAACCAATTCCGCCGACGAGGCGAAATTCGACATGATCAATCTCAAGATCCAGACCCTGTCATCGTTTGGACACTTCCTTGCCGAAGCTTCCAACATTGACAATGGCACTTCTATCAACGCTCTACAGTCGGCCAAAGACGAGCATGGTAATATCCTCAAGGACGAGGCAGGCCAGCCTGTCATAACACCCTCATTCCCTCATAGAATTCGACCTGAGATCTATGAGGTTGTTGCTCTCGCGAAGCTAATTGTTCGCTATGCCAATGAGATCGTTGCTGTTGCTCTGAACACAACTTCATCTGGCTTGAGAATTGTGGTCTGTGCTACTGGTGGACAATCGTAAGTTTACTTCTGAAGCTGTTAGAAATATTTGGATGTTCTAATTGAGAATCAGTGACAAGTTCCCGGGAAAGGTCGTCCCTTTGACACTAGAGGCTGTCAATGAGGCAATTCGAAGCTCGAATATGATGATGACCAGGTACATCTATGGGATTGGCGTTGATGAGATGTCTGAGAAGCTTTCCAACGCCCCTGAACCAGCTACCCAGGCCCCCAATGAGCCCCGTGTTCCCTTTGAGGACCATGCCGCTGCTGTGGTCAACCTGTCCTTGAACATGATTACCAGGTGGAGAAATCACGTTGGGATTCAATTCCGTCCTAGGTACCTTCTGGCGCAGTATGAGACGTCAATGGCGCTCCCTGCTATTATCCAGCGTTACCGAGCTCAGACCGCAATCTTCGATGAGTTCGAGAACTTGCGGCCGCATATTGTGGCTCTCACTGATCCCGACCTTGATGGCGTTGGAATTGTGCATAATGATGCACTGGAGAAAGCAATCACGGATCTCTTCAGAGAATGGCTACCGAGAATCAATCATACCTGCACCGACATTGCCGAGCCCTGCATCGGCATGGACGATTCCAAGCCCAACTGGAAGGCTAACATCGCAAAGGCCATGTATGCCCTCTGGCTTTCCGAGATCGTGACCACGAGAAATGCTATTGCACATATTACCGAGGTGCTTGCGAAGCGCACTGCATACTACAATTCGGAGATGCTTCAATGGAATGCGTCTAATCCATTCGACCGGGAAGTTCTCTTGGCGATCCGTCGCCTGACGGACAGGCTCCTCTGGATAGATAAGGTCCGACATCCCCTTAGTCCTCTGGTTCTTCCATTCTTCACCATCTGCGGCCGTCTTATGTGTCGCAACCCGGCTCGGTTCCAGGCTACATTGATGGCAGCTTCTCGTAAGCCGAAGGTCGACATCACGACTACTCGCATCTCCATGTACTACCTTGGTGTGAATCAGCTCGACCAGGAGAGAGAGGCAGGTCGAGTCATCTTCGAGGCGTTTGCCGACATCGCCGCCTAGCATTCGGCGACTCGAATCATCGGACTCATCCACGAGACAAAAGCCGCCCAGGTCGTATCGGCTGGCGCTCCTACTGTTCAAACCATCACGGCAGAGACAGCCAAGGCTACAAACGCTGTTCAGAACGTCGATCTCATGGGCGTTATCGAGCCTCTGCTTGACAAACTCAGCACTGCTGAGGCGAAGAGCCTGCTGGCCTGCCTGCACCAAGACGACATTGGAGGGTACGGTCTCATGAGTATGTGGAAGAAGTATGCCAAGACTGTGCATTGCAAGGCTCATTGCGAAGCTGCCATGGCTATCTGGCTGCGAGAGGAGGTCAGTACTCCCACCTCCATACATACAACTCTATGCATATCACTATATCTCCTCTCCTAGATGTCTTGACGGTTAATATAAGCTAACAAGTGTCTGTCTAGGGCTTCATGTCGACCCCGCTTAGCGATCCCATCTTCGCTGTCTCCAGGGAGTGCTGCATGGTGTGCCGCCTCATCGCTCGTGAGCTCATGGCAAGCCGACACAAGGACGACAACGGCGTCCGTTTCGACCGAGTCCTGCTCCCCGAGCACATTGCCATTATGCCGGTGGCGCTGCCCAAGCACTGTCCCCTGGATGTGGCCGAGAAAGTCTTGGAGGAGGTGGAGGCACGTGTCGTTGCCTTAATCAAGGCCTCTTCTGTCTCCAAGCTCTGATGGCTTTTATCGAGAGCCATTGTAGATATCTGAGTCTACAAATCGAGTGGTGATAGATATTGCTGGTCCGTAACGAGAATACAAATCAAGTTTTTGCTTTTATCCCCGGCTACCAAATGTGATTGTTCATAGGTTATTCGCAAGGGTTTTAATTCATTATTATTAAGTCTATGGCAAACGCTATGCAACCGTTCACTCGATGCTATAGTTCGACCGCAGTCTTCGGCGCGTCGAGGTCGGTCTCTCCCGCCCCGTCGACTGGTTCTCCTTCGTCTCAGGGAGTGTTGTCCTCTTCAGTCCATTTTCAGCAGGCTTTGTAAATGGCGTGGCATGGGCCTGGCTCTGCGTTTTCGGGTTGCTCTTCACAGCCTCGACGCTCATGTCGTGGTGGACAATGAAGTCCTTGCCTCTCCACCGAACCGTCCTTCCAAGCAGAACAGCCCAGGTCCAGATGGGCAAGGCAAGCGTCTCCCTGCCAGCCCAAGCCGGTAGCCATTCTGAGAACGGCTTGAGTTGCACGCCGCCTGGTCGGCTTGTTCCTCGGGCAAACGCTGGCGTGTTGTCATCGGCTTCGACGCTCTGACACGCGTGTAGCCTGCGATATACGACGCGGTCCAGTGACATCCAAAGGCTGACGCCAGTAACCCAGATCGCGGCCATCGCGCCCCACGTCTGGGGGATGCCCCAGTGCTGGCGGAACCACGGTATCGTAGTCAGCGCGAACGAGAGATACAAAGAGCACAGTAGCGACTCGACGCCGGGCTCAACCAGCGTCGCAGCCAAGACCGTCCACTTGCGCACCCGCAGCCAGCGCACCCGGCGCGCCCAATACGCGCGGACAGACATGCCGGCCATGGGCTGGATGGCGAGGTCGCCAGACACGAGCCCGTGGCGGCGGAAGCCCGGGATGTCGGCCTTCCACAGCAGGTCGCCGATGAGGTGGTCCTCGCAGATGTAGGACGAGAAGAAGTCGATGCCGCGGCCGCGGTCGGCGTCGGCGGGCTTGAGGTTGGCGTTCTCGCCCGGGTCCGTGTACCGGTCGAGGTGCGACTTGCGGAACATGTTGCTCTTGCCGACGATGCAGGGCGCGACGCCGACGGTGTTGATCGCGCCGTAGAACTTGGCGTGCGTGGTCGCCATGAACATCTCCTCGAGGCGGCCGCCGCCCTGGTTCTTCACGTACGAGAGGGTGCTCTGCGCTGCGTGTGCTTCGGCGGATGCGGTGGGGGATGACTCCGAGGCTGACGAGAGCATCTGCTGGGACTCGCCCCCGGACCTGGAGGCGATGTCCACGACGAGCGGGAGCAGGTGGACGAACTTGTATGGTGTTGTGGTCTTGCCTTCTGGCAAATATCCCATCAGCTTGTCAACCATGCGGCCTGCCACGCCGTTCCCGACCCAGACATTGCAGTCGATGATCCATATTATGTCGCCCTTGGCCTCTCTATATGCGCGACTTATGTTTCTGACCTTGGGGTTTGGTCCCAGGTTCTCTGCGTGGCCTTCCAAGCCGGACAACAGGGGGTCGTATTCTTGGACGAAGATGCGCGCGTCGAAGTCGGGGGAGTCATCGACCGCCTTCTCGAGCACTGGGTACGCGGGATCGTCCTCGGATTCGATGCAGAAGTAGATTGTGAGCTTGTCCTTGGGGTAGGACTGTCTGAAAGTCGACACGAGGCATTCGTAGAGCTGGGGGTCAAGCCCGCTCACGGGCCGTATTATGGTGACATGAGGGATCTTTTCTCTGGGCAGTGTGGGCGACACTGGCTTCGGAGGAGGTCTAGAGTAGTTACGGAAGCTGGAGCAAAGGTCACGGTTAATGTCCGGTCGCGTAGGGGAGCGAGGGGAGGGGAAGAGATCGGGGGTTTGTACATTTGAAAGGCGCCGAGGCCCTGCACGACAAGGACGACAAAACTCCAGATGGCGGCAGGATACGCCGCCAAGACCGCGAGCTGGTTTATGACCGACATGGAAGAAGCATGGCCCAACGCGATGATGCCGTCCGCGAAACGCACAAAGCTACGTCGAAGAAGAATAAGGGGACAAGACTGTCTATTTCCTTTTCTCGCCGGTCACAAAATTCCCGGAGATGACGGCCGTCCTGTCAAATTCCATGTGGGTACCCAGGGTTGGTGACCGCTTCAGCTCTCTCTCTCTCTCTCTCGCTCTTATATTTATTATGGCCGACTTGAAAGGACCGACCAGAGCAGCTCGCACCAAGCCCCCAAAAGCATACGTATGGCATAAGAAGGTAACGACACCTAGGCAGAGCCTCAATCTGGTAGTCACATGCGCGATTGGTTCAACTCCCGAGTGTCCGTCGCGACGCTTTCCTGTTGCGACCTGAACAGCATTACGAAATCACTCGATGGAAACCTGAGGTTCCACAGCTATGGTAAGCTCCCTTCTTAGGTAAATAGGATCGGGCTACAATGCCGGTGTGCGGCAACCTCGGAGCTGGAGCTTGCCGGACGTTCCGATGTTACTCTTCATCTATCGTCAACTCAATTATCAAGAAACTGCATCTCTTTGAGGCCTGGAATGCGAGGCCCCAGCTCTCGAGAAGGAACATGAACTCTTAACAGCTTGGAGCTCATGCCGGCTTTTCCCGCATTTTGCTAGCAGAGAGTCGAAATGGATGGATGGATGCATTGTTGACGCCACTGACCGCCTGCCGTTAACGTTTATTGTTAGCTGCAGAATGGAGTGTGGGATGAGTAACTTTTCCCAGCTCTGCCTTAGTTTTGGCGGAGCTCCAATTCGACGGCAAATTTTCACGCCAGCCAGCCCAGCCCAAGGAAAAAATTCAAGAAAATCCGCCTGCAAAGGTCATTCGAGAATCATCATCACGGCTTCTTGCTCCGGCTCTTGAATGGCCCAACCGCCCGATCCTCCTGCTTGTCCCCTACCAAGCAGCATCGGCGACGCGGGTGCAATATCCCTCAATCAAGTATGTCTACAGTCCTTCCTTTTCTGCCGTGTTCCTGTCGTCCACACGGGCGAAGCCGAGGATCGCCGTTCCCGTTTCTGTCGGAAGTGTCAGATGGTTGCATCTCCGGCTGCTGTTTGTTTGTTCGTTCGTTCGTTCGTTCGTTCGAGCCTCATTCACGCCCTCACCCCCTGACTTTGCCGCCGCCCGCCCGTCCGAGAGGCATTAAATCTCTCCATTTTCCTTTGCCCCCTTCTGTATCGCGCTGATGACACCCATTTACTATGGTGCAAAGAGAGCTTCGGCTCCCGATGACTGCCCAAAATTAAAGACTACAACGGTATCTGAGCGAACATATTACTATCATTACACTGCTTCTTTTGCCACAACACGCATTCCCGTGAAGGGAGTCTAGAAGAAGCTCGTGGGCAGCTGGCTAACATCGTCTCCCTCTTGCTTGCAGGCCGACATGACGCGAGACGACAATGGCTGAGATCAAGAGCTCGACGCCAGCTCCTGCTGCCAGCGAACAGCAACGCACAATCACCACCCCGCAGCCGTCTGAAGAGCCTTTGAGCCCTGCCGCTGCGCTTGCACCCCGGCCCGTGCCTGCCCACCAGCTATATGCCCAGCCGGCTCCAATTCGGACTTTTCCTCTTCCCAGCTTCTACCCGAACAACCCTATCTCGCTGTTCCATGTCGTCGTTGCATGGGTTGGTCAGGCACTCTTCCCGCCGCCCGCTGAGCCATCGGTAGTCCATATTGGCATCTGGTCCCCAGAGACGAGGTCGATCCACATCACTGATCCCAAGTCTATACGGGCATTATGGGAACAGGGTTTTTACGGCAAAGGAAACTACAGCAGGAGTGAGCCGAACTGGTTGAAACGAGAGCAGATCCGACAGGGTCTGGTGGAGGGCAATGTCAGCGAGCAACTGACTAACAAGAGGCGAACCGAACGTATACAGGCCAAGTGGGAACGAGCTAGAGAAGAGCAAGAGGCGATTGAGCGCACCAGACAAGAGGAGGCTCAGCTAGCCAACACAATCATTAATGGCCTGGCTGATGTTCAGAACTTTCCGAACACATCTATAGTGGTACCTTCACTTCCGCCCGTCGGTCCATTAGAGCTACTCGCCTTGCCAAACTCTGCAGCGGATCTGGAGACGAGCCAGCGGGCGAAACCTGTTCGGGATGGCTTCCATGAAGAACAAAAAGTGGAGATAAACGGAATGCGCACGACAGCTCTCAGCCATAGTGTTCATCAATCCGATGCCATAGCGGATGGCGTGGTCCCGACGGGAGCACCACTGATCCCTTCATCGGCAGCGCACGAGGCATATCTGAACGGAACAGGCAAGCTCGTTAATGGCACCAAACCAGAGGCTGGAGAAACTCAGGATGTGCTTCCAAATCTAAATGGAAACAAGCCCGCCTCTATCGAAATTCCGACAACAAACGGCTCGAGTAATTCCTCCTCAACCACTCTGGGCGGCCAAACGTCTCCCCTGAAACGTCGTAAGAGCGTACGTTTCTCGCCGAAGGTGGAGTCAACTACTTTCCAACTGTCGGATCCTCCCAGCCCATACCATTCTCCGGCGAATTCTTTGAAGACCAACAATGGTGACCTTGTTAATGGCACCAGGCCTGTGCCTACTAGCAAAGATCAGGAGGCACCCACAGCTACTATCGAAACGCCGAAGAGCTCCCCTCCGGCAATTGTGGATAAGGAGCATCTTCAGCTCGCTCCTGAGGAGGCGTTCTTCCTCGTCTTCGCGCTTGGTGCTCTCCGTGTGGTGGACGCGGATAGCCAGAAGCCGTTCTCAACGTCAGACATCTTCACTTTGCTCCGACAATACTCCTATTTTCCTCCCAGGATATCATTAGCCAACCTACTACCCGACGACCCGTTTCTCATGCACTACGTCGTGTACCACCATTTCCGCTCTCTAGGGTGGGTCCCTCGTCCAGGAGTCAAGTTCGGCGTCGACTGGCTGCTCTACCAACGAGGCCCCGTCTTCGACCATGCCGAGTTCGGCCTGATAGTACTACCCGCCTACTCTGACCAACGATGGAAAGAGCACGGGCATGCCGCGCCGCGGAGGTCGTGGCATTGGCTGCATGGCATCAATCGGGTGCTGAGCCACGTGCTGAAGAGTTTGGTGCTTGTCTACGTGGACATTCCAGCCCCGGCGGCTCTCGAGGCTGACGAACTAGATGGAAGCAATATTACGAATTTACTGAAGAAATATAAGGTTCGGGAGATCATGGTTAGGAGATGGTCGAGCAATCGAAACCGGTAGCATCTTGGCGAGATTAGAAAGGACGTGTACATCATGATATTCCCGTTCATATTGTACTGCTTGGGAACTCAAGGGGCATGATTCATTTGCACAACTAGTGATATATTTCTGTATATGATTGTACTTGGACATTGGCGTCCTGGAGCATGAAGTGGCGTATGGGCGCCGGGCCATGACTGAGAATAATGAAGAGTTCATTCACCTAGCATTCATCAAATGCCATCTTGATCGAAGCACTTGACACCTAGAAACTCGTGTATCAACTAATCATCTCCCCCCACATACTCCCATTTCGTTCAAGGCCGGAGACATCAGATAACATCCAAATGAGATAGTTCTTGATTTTTTACACAACGCAGAAACAAACTTCCTCAGATTTCGTCTCAGATTTCACCTCACTTTCATGTCCATTGTCTTTGCCTCTATTAATTTCTAGGGTTCGCTTGCAGAGCTACCTTCTCGCACATCAGTACCTGTCACGTCTTTGGCAAGCTTCTAGAGATAAGTCGATAGCAACATCACGGGTCGGACCCTGACAAAGTTTCGGCATAGAGCTACATCTTCTTTGGAAGAACATACACTCAAGATGACATTCACTCAGCAGGAGGGCATTTCTGCCACCTACGACGACCAGTCAGGCTCTATGCTGGACGGAAACCAGTCGACTGACGTTCACTCTCAGACTGAGCGCATTAACCCTCTCCCTGCACCTCTCCTTGGCGACCGATCACTCAATGATGTTCTCACGATCGAGGGCTTCGAGGGGTTCTACGGCTTTTTTAAAGGCGCCATGTCAGACGTTCTGCTTCGCACCGCGTTTGCCTCGCACGGTCCGATCAATGATCATGTCCCACCGAACGTCATCGTCACCAAGAATCTGATCGTCATCTTTCAGGCGTTATGCCTTCTTCAGGATGTGTGGCCCCCGCCCCGCCGGCAGCATCTAGGAAGCAGAAGCAAGCGGCATTTCACGAGTTGGAGAAGATGGTGGACTGTCTCTTTGATCCGACAATGGGAAACGGCGGGTCTCTCGCTCTGGGGATTGTCCGCATGTACGCCAAGGCTCGCAAGAACGAGTGCGATTTCCAGGTGAGTTGCGGTATTCTGGCATACTCGACAGATCCTCTCGTCGCCTTGCTACAGGAGCTCGTCGACGAATGGATTCGCTTCGAGGGTACAGGTGTCCCGCATCACCCCCTGAGCCCTGTCAATACCGTAGATTCTCGTGAGCTCTTGGCTGTTCGGCATAGCCAGTGGGAGTCTTTTATGTGCAACTCGCTCAAGCGTAGGATGCTGTTCTCCACGATGTGGTTTTGGGTCCCGGAGGACAATCGATGTAGGTCTCTTCCTCTCTCTCGGTTACTCTTCGTCGTGAATCGAAATGGCTAACGATGCTTCTACAGGTACTACTCTGGCGGTCGAAATGGCTAAGCGGGCACCTCGATGCATGCGCGGTGTCAAGAAGCCCCGCAGAAGAAGCAAGCGCAAATCAAAGCAGACGATGGAGAACGGCGTCAAGAAGTTTGGTGGTCTGTTGAATGATGTTTTCAACATAGATGATGCGGTCAAGGGCATTCTGGCTCTGGCAATTTGTGCGGAGTCGTAAGGGGAGAAGAAGGTTGACGCATTTGTATATCAATTATACATGGGGATGAACCAGTTGGAGGCTCTATAATGCCCCGTGATCTTAATATCAAGCAGGAATAGATGAGTCCGTCGACGTGGAATCTGCCGCCTATCTTGCAAGCCTTGTTGCTCTTGAGATCTGTGCATCTGGATGACAGAAAGAACAATCCCACAAACTTTTACACGCTATGCATGACATTCAGGAGGTGATTCAAGTTGTAGAATCCGAGGCCCTGTGCTCCATCCAGTGAGTGATACTGAAGTTCCTCTTCGGTACCGGCCATCAAGGACTGCGTGACTCCAGCTTGAGGTAGATTTACGTCACTGGCACTTGAATCAATGAACTCCTTAGACTCTGAGTAGGGATACTGCTGGAATCCTCAGGCAGACACAGACACCGTGATATCAGAAAATCAGGCAGCGACGGATATTTACCACGCCCCTCGTCCAATCACAAGTCATTATACCTCGGGGCAACTGGCAAGGCCTAATAAGGGAAATAGACGGCACCTTTTTTCAACAAAAATAACAGCCTGGTCAAGTGGTGTGGGTTGAGCGAGTGAAGCCCAGAGTACTCGGGTTCGAACCCCATACCGGACAGGGTTTCCGATGGATGCTGCTGCGAGAAAAGCCCAGAGTACTGGTCCAGCGCTGAAATCCGGATTACTCACAGTCTGTTATTTTTTGCCCCTTTTCCTACCATGCTCCCCCTTTTTAGTGATGTTTTTCCCCCGTGACATACACATCATTATGAACTTCGTGTTTGTCATGGATTGCACTTTGCACTCGAAATGGTCGGTATTACTGCTTATTTGTATACTCTTCCACCATGATCAGTTTCAGAGCAACGACGGGAGGTTGCCTCATACCACATGATCCTCAATGTGGTACTTTACTATCGTCTGCTATTGAACTCCAGAAGCACAGTTATGGGAAATAACCTGACACACTAAGTGTATCATTGGAGATATTGATCGATGAGGCCTTGAATGTGGGATCTTCGACAAGCGAACTGGCAATGCTATCGGTAGGATTGGCACTCTGCCATTCATCAGTAACGAATAGATGAAATCGGGATATATTGATCTCGAGAATTCTTGGAGATACACGGACACAAAGGTCTAATATTGTCCATTCTTGATAAACAAGAGGTGAATTTCGAGGTCTAGAAATCTAATTGACTGGCGGACGACAACTGACTCTGGCCCAGCAACATCAGTCTTTTAGGCGAGGTGTAATTTACTAGCATGGTACGGCTGTATTGATACATCAACGTCATGGCTGTTGTTCGGCAAAATACATGTCTTGCAACATATGCAGCAATTGTCGTCTGGAGGTCTACGAAGGAGGAAGCGCGAGGAAATCAAATTATTTGATTGGCCAATAATGTTTGCGACGCTCGGACTGGATAGGGATAGACCCAAATCCTAGGCGCAGTCAGTAGGATTCGGCGGGGCACAATTGTCGTCTTACCATTTCGTCAAGAACCTTTGTCCCCAGAAGGAATGAATGTAATCAATCGCAGCTTTCTAGCTCTATTTTCAAGCCGACAGCCAGTCTACTGCAGCGCCTATTGCATCGCCGTGTGGCCGTGAGCGATCTCTACCTGACATGGCTCCCAAGCTTCAGGGGCCGATATCCCTGGACAAGTTAGAGGACATTTTCTCGAATGGAGGCGAGCAGCTTCGTCCCATTCTGACCAACTTGAACGATGACAACGCCTGGCTCCTATCTTGTCCTCGTCCAGCAGCGGAGAGGGCTGCAACAGGCAGAATCTACTACCACATCGCTTTAGACCCATGGCTAACGAAAGAGGGCGCTAACCTCGGATTCTCATGGATTCTGGGCATGAAAAGGACCTCTGAAGCCAGTGCACCGGATGCTGCTGCCCTTGGTGCTCTTGTGGATCGAATCGAGGCTATCGCTTCCATGAGGGAGTCAAGCAATGGCGCCGTCCAACCAAGCGGCCACCTTCCGGTCGATGCCATCTTCATTTCCAATGAAAGTGGCGATCACTGTCATTTCGAGACCCTCTCAAGCTTCCCTTCTGAGGTGCCGGTCTTTGCTGCTCCAAAGGCGGCTCAGAAGATTGCTGGCTGGAAGCTTTTCAACACTCTCATCCAAACAAAGTCCTTCAATCCAGCAACAGAATCGTGGCAGGTGGCGCATCCTGGCTCTCCGTTGCCAGAATGGATCACTCCCATCGATATTGTCGGACATACAGCAGCGCACTTTGGCTTGGCAATCATCATATCTTCTCAGCCGCCTGATCACGGCTCAGGGTTACACGAACTAATTGCTCTGGTGCCTCACGGCCTTCTGCCGACCGAACCCCATTTGCAGAACCTCACTGTTACTGCGTCACCGCCGATCAAGACCCTTGCTCTCATGCACCCGCTGAAGGAGTCCTGGACGCTTGGTGTACAGATTTACCTGGGTGTCAGCAACGCACTTGCGATTATCCGGCAGTCGCAAGCGACTTATTACGTGAAAACAGCAGACCTTGTATTAGATTATACAGGTTTTCTTTCATACGCACTAAGCGAGAAGCCTTGGACGCTACAGTCCGGCCTTGAAGAGGAGAGAAAGGTGGGAGGAGAAGGGAAACCAAGCGAGCTGGCCTGTCACGAGGTTGCGAATGGGAAGTGTCTGGTTCTTGTATGAGAATAGCAAGCTGGTACGGCACAATGCAGGGTGATGGGCACTGCCACCACAGCCTTGCTATCATACCGTGGCACCTTATGATATCGCTAATGTGCGTGCAGTAGCGCTGGAACTGCATCCACATCTCCTTAGACATTCAAGTTCAGTAGATTCTATCTCTTAATTCATAATTGAGAGGCGTATTGAAGGATCAAGCATACAAGCAACATCTGAGATTGTCGCCAGTCGAGGTGATCCAGGCTAGGCTGCTGCAAACCTCTGACGCAAGGCTCTCGTAAAACCCCGCTCGTGTACTGCATCGACGGCCGAAGTATCAGATTCCTAACGCTTCCATCGACATCAACGGCACAATTCTCATGTCCTTCAGCTCAGTGGTTTGAAAGACGATTTGCTTTCACGTAATAGTAGTTTCGACGGTGTCTCACAGGTAAACACGAGACTTTTGAACGTTGAGACTCTGGAACTCCAGCAGTTTACTGGAGATGATGTCCCGCCATACACGATCCTGTCTCATACTTGGGGTAAAGAGGAGGTGACATACCAAGATCTGACTCGCGGCGACTATCAGCATATGGAAGGTTACCAAAAACTTGCAGGTTGTTGCAGACTGTCTCGCCAAGATGGCTACCAGTATACATGGATAGACACTTGTTGTATCGACAAGTCATCGAGTGCCGAGCTCTCCGAGGCCATCAACTCGATGTTTCGCTGGTACCAGAGATCGGCAATCTGTTATGCGTACTTAAGTGACGTTGCTCTTGGCAAGAGTACGATTGGCAGTAGCAAGTGGATGAGAAGGGGCTGGACCTTGCAAGAGCTGCTGGCACCAAACACTGTTGTCTTTTTGGCCAGCACTTGGGATCAAGTCGGCTCGAAAACAGATCCTGACGTAGCATGGCAGATTGCATCGGAATCGAGCATCGATATTGAACTTCTCTTAGCGAGACGAGATATCTCACTTGGCATCACAGAACGTCTTCGCCGTTACAGTATCGCTCAAAAGCTGTCGTGGGCAGCACGGAGGGAAACTACTCGAAAAGAAGATCATGCATACTGTTTACTCGGTATATTCGAGGTCAACATGCCGCTGCTCTATGGAGAGGGTGACAAGGCATTTCTTCGACTTCAACAGGAGATCATGAAAGAGTCAAACGACAGCTCCATATTTACCTGGCAATACACCGACGAAGAGTCCCGAAAGCTATATTCAGGCCTCCTGGCCAATTCAATTTCTTGTTTCCAAAAATTTGACGTAACAGCTTACCCGTTCCCGAAGATCAAGATTGACTCACGCACCCCTTCAACCATTGTATACGAAACGCTCAAAAATACTATTCGACTCAGAGCCTCAATGCTCGGAACTCCTAGGCAGCTTGTCAGCCGACGCAAGTTCTACAACGATAGTATTTTGTGCAGAATGAACTCGTGGAGTGTTCCTCAAGGGCAATCTCGCGATTTCACGCTGTCGCAATTCTACGTACGCCACCAGCCGGCAAACGATCCGGGCTTTAGGGAGCGATTCCATGACCTAGAAATCGTCATGCTAGATTGTCGAGACGCTCTGGGGCGGGTGGGATTCTTAGCCCGGCGTACTGAAGATGGTGAGCTAGAACGCTGTCACATGCTGGCTTTGATGTATCTTCATGACGACCATTCAAGTTTGCCCGTAGCTTCTTGGCATCACTTCCTGACCTACCGACATGACGACAGTTCTACTACATTGTCTCGTCCAGGCTTCTGGAGAGTGATATCTTCCTTAGATATCTTCGGCTATGATACAGAGGTATCTAGTCAGTTGAAGCAGGAAGGTGCACTGAACAGAAAGTCCTGGATAATAATCAACCAGATTTCGGGTTGGCACTACCTTTCCTTCCGACATAAAACTCCTGAAAATTGGCCTACCATTATCTTTGTCTTCCAAACGAAGCCAAGCAATCAATACCCAGGAGTGGCTTGTTTCAACTGCGTTGTGTCAGAGGATATCAACAGCCCTGAAGATGCCCTTTTAATAAAGGAAGGGAGGATCCTTCTCGGTCAATACAACCAGTACACTATCTTCACAGGAGAATTAAGGAAAGAAGTGAATTCGGAGACAATATTGGTCATCAAAGTCCGGCAAGCGCTGTCGGGAATGACTGAAATATCATTACACCTTGAGCATTGCGATAATGCTTACCATCCTCTGATACCACTGGCGAAAGCTTTCAAGGAACTTTAGCACCGTGGATTGAGCTGCCAGTATTCGCCGAGATATAGTATTCTAGAGCAAAAAGCCGAAGTTAGTGCAACTGTATGGCGTGTGCTTCTCTGCGCCTT